TTCAACACTTAATTCCTTAAGACCATACTTTTCTCTCTCATTTGCAATAACATCTAACCTCCCATTCAACTCCAATATCTTGTGTGCAGTTTTGTAAAGCAATATCCCTCTGTTGAAATAGAAGGAAGGAGAGGGGATGAAGGAAAATACTTTCTTCTTCTCTAGATTTGACGTGAAAATTGTTGTGCTCCACTCATCCAGCACATTTTCAATGTCATATGAGACTTCCTTGAGCTTGTACAACCAATCTCGAACACTGGCCTTTCCCTTCCCCATTTGCTGTCGCTCTGCATCCTCAAGAACAGCTTTGACAGCTCGAAAACTACTGGCGAGCTTTTCAACTTCACCATGAACATTAGCAATACGGCTCACCTCCTCCTCTAATACTGGACTCAACTTTTCCAGCACCCTCGAAACAATTGCTCCAGCCATTATAGAGATGAAGAAAACAATAGAAGTGTTGATGATAACCTAAAATTTTCAAAAATATTTATATGAATATATAAATGAAAATATAATGAAAAATTAAGTATGAAAATGAAAAATGAAAAGGAAAGGAGTCACGTGGCACAAGCCCCTGAAAACACGATCTATGTAAAGATAGGGTTTAGGGGTTCTGTGTAAAGATAGGGTTTAGGGGTTCAGTTAAGAGTGAGGAATGACATACAAAAACCTCGCAATCCTCCATGTATAAAACACAATTGAATATTTTAACATTAGGGAATTTATTCAATTTTTGTTTTTTTATTTTTAATTAAGTATACTTTAAAAAGTAAATGAATGAAATTGCAAAGCTTGAAAATACTTGGACTGCATTGAAGCAAAATCAAGAACATGCCAGTACAACAGCAACAAAATTAAAAGTGGAACAACTGATGTGATTAAATTCAAAACGTAGCGGACGGATTTGAAAAGATTTAAATTTCTGGACTTAATTGCTTGATTGCAAAAAGTTTTGGACAAAAAACATTAAAATGAAGATGATTGAACTTAACAGAATGCAGATTTCCAAAAGATTCAATGAAAACTTAACAAGAAAATAAAATAAATATGCTTCATTACCATTCAGTTTTCAGCAAAATTCATAAAACTTAACTATAGAATATCAAACACTCACAGAAAAAAAAAAAAAAAAAAAAAAAAAAAAAAAAAGCAAAAAGCAAACATGGCGGAACTTTGTGGAGAAAGGTAGATCCAGATCTGAAAGGAGAGATCCCACCCACGGGACCTAGCTCCGTTCATCTCCCTCACCACCTTTTCCCAAAAACTCCTCTGTTTGGGAATTATACCTAGCTCACGGAAGAAGACCGACGTCACACCCCAAACGGGATCGACCAAAAAAATGAATCGCCTCGTTCCAAAAACCTCTTCACCGGTTCTGCTCTTCGGATTCTTCTCTGCTTGTTGGTTGTGCTAAAAAAAGAATGAAATTTTTTTTTTTTTTGGTTTCTGGGCAGCGATCGATATAAAAATGGTGGACTGGTGGTTAAAAGGTCGGGAAAGTATAGAGCCAGTGATGATGATCAGAGAAAGATGATCGTGATCGGAGAATCAAACCAAGTAGGGATGGTGATGGTGCTGAAATCGGTGATCCAGAA